GAATAATTGTCATGAGACATGTGGAACGAATATACAAGATTGTGCAATGATGAATATGGACAATAGATGCTACTGTGAAGTAGGTTTCAAGAGAATAGCAGGAATATGCCTCCCTGACGTTATGTGTCCATGCGCCGAAAACGAAAAATATACTTTCGGAGACCGATGTCACGAATCCTGCAGACAAAGTTACCACGACTGCCCAAAAGATGAATCTTACAGGGACTGCTTTTGCAAGGAAGGCTTTGTCCGAGTGAATGGGATGTGTCAGCCATTTGACAAATGCCCGTGCAACGACAATGAAGTTTTCACTTACGGAAACTCATGCGAAGAGGAATGTAAGTACGGCGATCAAGATTGCGCTGAAGAGTCCAGCTCCAAAGGATGCTTTTGTGATGATGGATATGTTAGAATAAATGGATTATGTGTGCTTGGCAGCAATTGTGGATGTGGCGAAAACGAGGAATATGCCAATAGCAACGAATGCTCCGAAGACTGCAGTAAAACGTGGAATGATTGCCGAGAGGAGCCGAGCGCCTTTAGATGTGTCTGCCTGCGCCACTACAAGAGGATTGATGGAAAATGCGTCAAGGATGTCAATTGTCCGTGTCCGGAAAATGAGGTTTTCAGCCATTCCACTGAATGCGATGAAACCTGTGGAACTACTCCTGATGAATGTGGATTGATAACGATCATCAACAAGTGCTTCTGCAAGCCCGGTTACAAGAGAATAAGCGGAGTGTGCGTTGAAGATTCACTTTGTCCATGCGCCGATAATGAAGAATACACTTTCGGAGATCGGTGCCAAGAGTCCTGCAGAGAAAACTACGACGACTGTCCGCAGGGAGAAACATACAGGGGATGCTTCTGCAAGGAAGGCTTTGTTCGAGTGAATGGGATATGCCAGACCTTTGATAAATGTCCGTGCCAGGGAAACGAAATATTTAGATACAGTAGTAAGTGCAATGAAGTGTGTAATGACGGTACTCATGACTGCACTCTCGAGACCTGTACAAAGGGATGTTTCTGCGAAGATGCACATGTGAGAATAATGGAATTTGTGTGCCACAGCAATTGCCCTTGTCCGGAAAACGAGGAGTATATATATAGTACTGATTGCTTAGAGAACTGCGATATAATTTGGAGTGAGTGTCTGAATGTTGCCAGTACTTTCAAATGTCATTGCAAGAGAAACCACTATAGAGTCAACGGTAAATGTGTTCCACAAAGAGAGTGCCCCTGTCCGAATAACGAAGTCTACGGTTTCATGAATGATTGCTATGAGACATGTGGAACTACCATACAAGAGTGTGCCATTATAAATAATAACAACAAATGCTATTGTGATTTTGGGTACAAAAGAATAGCAGGAACATGCGTCACTGAGGATATGTGTCCATGCGCCGAAAACGAAAAATATACTTTCGGAGACCGATGTCACGAATCCTGCAGACAAAGTTACCACGACTGCCCAAAAGATGAATCTTACAGGGACTGCTTTTGCAAGGAAGGCTTTGTCCGAGTGAATGGGATGTGTCAGCCATTTGACAAATGCCCGTGCAACGACAATGAAGTTTTCACTTACGGAAACTCATGCGAAGAGGAATGTAAGTACGGCGATCAAGATTGCGCTGAAGAGTCCAGCTCCAAAGGATGCTTTTGTGATGATGGATATGTTAGAATAAATGGATTATGTGTGCTTGGCAGCAATTGTGGATGTGGCGAAAACGAGGAATATGCCAATAGCAACGAATGCTCCGAAGACTGCAGTAAAACGTGGAATGATTGCCGAGAGGAGCCGAGCGCCTTTAGATGTGTCTGCCTGCGCCACTACAGAGGATTGATGGGAATGCGTCAAGGATGTCAATTGTCCGTGTCCGGAAAATGAGGTTTTCAGCCATTCCACTGAATGCGATGAAACCTGTGGAACTACTCCTGATGAATGTGGATTGATAACGATCATCAACAAATGCTTCTGCAAGCCCGGTTACAAGAGAATAAGCGGAGTGTGCGTTGAAGATTCACTTTGTCCATGCGCCGATAATGAAGAATACACTTTCGGAGATCGGTGCCAAGAGTCCTGCAGAGAAAACTACGACGACTGTCCGCAGGGAGAAACATACAGGGGATGCTTCTGCAAGGAAGGCTTTGTTCGAGTGAATGGGATATGCCAGACCTTTGATAAATGTCCGTGCCAGGGAAACGAAATATTTAGATACAGTAGTAAGTGCAATGAAGTGTGTATGACGGTACTCATGACTGCACTCTCGAGACCTGTACAAAGGGATGTTTCTGCGAAGATGCACATGTGAGAATAAATGGAATTTGTGTACCAAGCAGCAATTGCCCTTGTCCGGAAAACGAGGAGTATATATATAGTACTGATTGCTTAGAGAACTGCGATATAATTTGGAGTGAGTGTCTGAATGTTGCCAGTACTTTCAAATGTCATTGCAAGAGAAACCACTATAGAGTCAACGGTAAATGTGTTCCACAAAGAGAGTGCCCCTGTCCGAATAACGAAGTCTACGGTTTCAT